ACACACACACACACACACACACAGAGTTACACAGCTCATACGTTATGCACACATGCGTGTGATTCTTCAGCTCAGCCAGTCTGACAGTACCTGCAGCGGGGGGTTGTGGGTAGGGGCTGTACCCGGCCTGTGGCATGCTGGGATACGGGTACGGGTATGGGTACGGCTGCGGCATGGCTGGGCTGGCGTATCCGGTCATCCCTGCAGCCCATCCGAACCTGTGGCATGCTGGGATACGGGTACGGGTATGGGTACGGCTGCGGCATGGCTGGACTGGCGTATCCGTTCATCCCTGCAGCCAATCCGAACGCTCCGTTCTGAGCCGGAGGAGCTCGAGACGCTGCACACACACACATTAATATATATTGAAATGCATTCAAGCATCAAAAGTAAAAGATTGATAGATCATCATCATTTCAGTTTGATCTGCTCCACCCTGCAGCTCACACAGATAGAGAGCGTCATAAAACAGTTCAGCACTGGTTCATGACTATACAACATCAGCATTGATTCAGTGACTCAGTGACTCAGTGACTCAGTGATTCAGTGGTCGAGTGACTCAGTGACTGTTTCCTGACCGTTGGTGGCCAGTTTGAAGAGGTGCTGTCCCAGATCAATGGCTCCTCCGCTGGGGAAAGACATCTTGAAGTTGGCCTGACCTTCCCATCCGCCTGACAGAGAGAGACACAGGTGAGCGTGAGCCGAACACAGCACAATAACGAGAGTGTGCAGCAGGTGCATGCTGGGTAAAGCAGCGTACCTCCCGCCTCGGCTTTGATCAACCCCTGGATGTAGTTTGCAGCAAACACTGGCTGCTCGATGCTGCAGTTCTTCATCAGGTAATACGGGAACATGAGGGAGCAGAACTTCTCTTTCATCGTGCTGCTGACGAACACCATCTGAAACACACGCACACCTGATTAACCTGTGTCTGTGGGATCGGTTAACCCGTGTTTGGGTGGGTTATAGATTAGTTAATCTGTATTTGGGTATTTTATGGATTAGTTCAAATGTTTTGGGTGGGTTATAGATTAGTCAACCTGTATTTGGGTATCTTGTGGATTAAGTTATTTTGTGTTTGGGTGGGTAATAGATTAGTCAACCTGTATTTGGATATTTGCTCTTCCGTGGAAATCCTGAAAAAAGGGAGAAGATTATCCGCAGAAGTCAAGAGCTTATTGATCTGATGAAAGACAACTTCGAAGCCACCAACAGTCTCATTGAGATTGCCAATAAGCACTTGCATTCGTCCTTCAGCCCGATCACCCTGAACGAGAACGCCACTGTCAAGGAGAACTGTGATGTGATGATTGAACGTGTGAATCAGATTCTAGCAAAAGTTGAGGAGGTTGACGAGGAGATGAAGAAGAAGCTGGGACCTACCTTGTATGAGAAACTACAACATATGTCTCTCAAAGACTTCAACAAAGTTCCAGCTGTTGATAAAGCTGCTATTACATTAGTTTGCCAGATTTCAGTCGGAGTTTTAGTGGTTTATCTAATTAAAAAAAAAAAAATTCTGGAAACCGTAACATCTATATATTGTAAAATTGCAAGAGGGATATGTGCCTCCATTGTGATTGGGTTGGCAGTTGATGTGATTGTTTCAGCTATTGTAGGGTATATTGAGCAAGGTAAACTCGACACGGCCCTGGCAGAGTACGAGGAGGCTTTGGCAGTATTCAGGCCAGCATCTAAAGAATACCAGAAGGCCATATACAAAGTCACGATTATGCTTGAATTCTTGGAGTGAATTCACTCCCACATTTATATCTGACCTTAAACTTTAGCAAGTCATAGGCTGCTGTTTTATCTATATTAATCTTTCCAGTTACAGAATATTCATTTCTTTCAGTCTGACACAAATATTTGCAGTAATTTGCTAAATTTATATAATGAGCGAGTACATCATGAATTAATCTTCCAAACAGCGTTTTTGTCTTATTCCGAATCACTCCGGTACACTTATAATAAATACTTATATTCGGACTATTGTAGCCTGGTCACCGCTGCGGAGTAACACACACCTGCGTGAATCGCCAGAGACATAAACTTAGAGAAGTAGCTCCGGTTAAAATGTTCTTCCGCGGGATGTGTGCAGTTCTGTTTATTAACCGCTAGAGCGCCACATTCACATAGTGCTGCTTTAAATGCATGCAGAAATCCATGGAATGGAGATGGATGGCATTATTTGAGTTGTGAAATGGAGGGAAAATGCTCAGAATCAGTTGGAAATAAATCACAAGTCCCATGATTTCAAACATTGTCTTGTTTATTGATGAAGAATATTTTGAGTGTGTCACAATCGCATGATTTCTCTTCTTCAGTTATGGAAATGTGGAAATTAAAGCTGAAGCTCCAATCTCCTCCTGAAAGAAGTGCGCTGGTGCCTCGGGGACTACTTCGCTCTGAAGCTGTCAATCATGACGTCACACTCCTGTTTTTATAGCATCAAATACCTAACTAAAACACATCCTTGACTATTTTGATTTGATTTCAGAGGAATCTTAAAAATCTTTTTTTAGATGTCTACAAAGGCATTAGACACAGCGGAGCACGCTTTCATTTTTCGTTGTCTTCAAAAATTTAGTTTTGGGGATTTTTTTTATTTTTATAATGCCATCAGGACACTTTATGCTAACAGTAACCACTCACTGAAAAAGGCTCTAAAGCTTTGTCTTTTTTTTAAATTGTCTAAATGTGAGCTACTTTCAATTAAAGAATGCAGCCTATCTACAATTAATAATATTCCAGTTAGGATTTACTTTCAGGACAACTAGATGAGCCCCAGATACGGATCCCCAGTGAAGACCTTGTCTCAGACGACCACCGGGACAAGAC